CCTCCCCGGGCAATTGTGCAGAGGTGCTTGTGTGTCCTTGGCAGTGCCTCCCCCCTTCAATCTCCTTCCTTCTCCATCTCCTTCCTTTCACCTTCAATCTCCTTCCTTCTCCATCTCCTTCCTTTCCCCTTCAATCTTTCTTCCTTCCTTCCTTCCATCTCCATCTCCATCCCTTGGCAAGTGTGAGAGGATGGCCAGTGGCTCTGAGGCGCACGGATCCTCCACGCAGCTTCCAAGGCCCCGGATGTGCCGCCGCTTGGCTCTCCACCAGGCTCTCTGCCAGAGCCTCCCCCCTCCCCAGGCAATTGTGCGGAGCTGCTTGTGCGTCCTTGGCAGTGCCTCCCCCCTTCAATCTCTCTCTCCTTCCTTCCTTCCTTCCTTCCTTCCTTCCTTCCTTCCTTCCTTCCTTCCTTCCTTCCTTCCCCCTTCAATCTCCTTCCTTGTCCATCTCCTTCTTTTCCCCTTCAATCTCCTTCCTTTTCCTTTCAACCTTCCTTCTTTCCATCTCCATCTCCATCCCTTCCCCTTCAATCTCTCTCTCCTTCCCTCCTTCCTTCCTTCCTTCCTTCCTTCCTTCCTTCCTTCCTTCCTTCCTTCCTTCCCACTTCAATCTCCTTCCTTTCCCCTTCATCTTCTTCCTTTCCCCTTCATCTTCCTTCCTTCTCCATCTACTTTCCCCTTCAATCTTCCTTCCTTCCTTCCTTCTCCATCCCTTCCCCTTCAATCTCTCTCTCCTTCCTTTCTCCCTTCCTTCCCCCTTCAATCTCCTTCCTTCTCCATCTCCTTCCTTTCCCTTTCAATCTTCCTTCCTTCTCCATCTCCTTCCTTTCACCTTCAATCTTCCTTCCTTCCTCCCATCTCCATCTTCATTCCTTCCCCTTCAATCTCTCTCTCCTTCCTTCCTTCCCCTTCAATCTCCTTCCTTCTCCATCTCCTTCCTTTCCCCTTCAATCTTTCTTCCTTCCTTTCCCCTTCAATCTCCTTCCTTTCCCCTTCAATCTTTCTTCCTTCCTTTCCCCTTCAATCTCCTTCCTTTCCCCTTCAATCTTCCTTCCTTCCTTCCTTCCATCTCCATCCCTTCCCATTCAATCTCTTTCTCCTTCCTTCCTTCCTTTCTCCTTCAATCTCCTTCCTTCTCCATCTCCTTCTTTCCACTTCAATTTTCCTTCCTTCTCCATCTCCTTCCTTTCCCCTTCAATCTTCCTTCCTTCCTTCCTTCCTTCCTTCCTTCCTTCCTTCCATCTCCATCTCTATCCCTTCCCATTCAATCTCTTTCTCCTTCCTTCCTACCTTTCTCCTTCAATCTCCTTCCTTCTCCATCTCCTTCCTTTCCCCTTCAATCTTCCTTCCTTCCTTCCCCTTCCCTCCCTCCCAACATTTTTGAGCAAGGAAGAGTAAGCTTCTCCAGCAAGCATTGCTATATTGTTTTTGTGATTAATTACTATGCTTTAATTATGTTCAATTTGTAACAATGAAAATACACCCTGCATATCAGATATTTACATTACGATTCATAACAGTAGCAAAATTACAGTTATGAAATAGCAACGAAAATAATTTTATGGTTGGGGGTCACCACAACATAAGGAATTGTATTAAAGGGTCGTGGCATTAGGAAGGTTGAGAACCACTGCACTAGACCAAACTGGTTCTCTCTTTAACTAGTATTTAACTATAATTCCTTTCTATTAAAATCAAACAATTAAGATACATCGTGACAGCAGGAAACAATATCAAATAGTCTGGAATGAGATAGAAAATACACCTACAAAATATATGTGTATATATTTATTATAGTAACCTTAGAACAGGCCACTTTATATCCAAAGAAAATCACCTAAGCTTCTAAGAAATCAGCTAGACTTGTTAAGTACTAATGTAATATCCCACTTGACACTTTAATATGCTCATACTTCCCGGATTAGCTTTTCTGCCCTCCGGATGAAACCTGTTCTGATTTAGATACATCCTTATTAGTGCAATAATCAGAACTGAATGCAGTAAGTGTAACTAATGATTTTTCTCTTGATGATATTTATAGAAATTGTAGTCCTCTTTTACCAAATATCATGGACTTCTTTAAAGTCAAAAGCTAAAAAGAAAAAAACAACAGGTCATAGTTATAGAAAACAATCTTTTCCACCAAATAAGTCCAGGTTCAAACCTTAACATTTCCAAAAATGACTGGAGAAAGCTTAAGTCTAAAAACTTAAGAGTACCTGCCAGTCAAAACAGCTGAAATAGACTGACTGAAGAAGGATTGTCATTTTGCTATTTTCTGCTCTGGATTGGAACAATGGCAGAAATTTGGGCTGACTACCAAACCAAGAATGAAAAACATAGATGTAAGCATCTAGGTACAATGCATGTATTTACATGTTGTTTATATCATATATACAACATATAGGCTTTGCCCCAAACAACACTCTCTTATGTGTTGAGAAATTTAATTGCACAGAGACAGCACTAAAAAATGAACATCAGGGGCTGTACTTCCTATATTCCTAAAAAATTAAAATCCTGTCCAGGCAGGAACAAAGCTGCTTACAGACTACTATGGTATTTAGGGTTTAAGAGACAGATATTCCATTTTTAATTGGACTGAAGCAGCTCTACTTTTCCATTTATCATCCTATTGCTCGTATCAGGACATCTTTAAAATATTATTTTTCAGTAGTCATTCTTTCCCTCCTCTTCCAGTGTGTGTTTTTTTTTTCTCCCTTAGAAGATCCTCCTCAATGGCTACAATCTCAAAACACAGTGGAAATCTAATTACAGGTAATCCTCAACTTACAATAGTTCAATTAGTGACCGTTCAAAGTTACAACAGCATTGAAAAAAATGACTTATGACCCTTTTTCACACTTATGATTGTTACAGCAACCCCATGTCACATGTTTTACATTAAGATGCTTGACAAGTGGTTCATATTTATGATGGTCGCAGTGTCCTTAGGTCACGTGATCTCCTTTTGCGGCCTTCTGACAAGCCAAGTCAATGAGGAAGCCAGATTCACTTAACAACCGTGTTACTAACTTAACAAGTGCAGTGATTCACTTAACAAATGTGGCAAGAAAAGTCATAAAATGGGGCAAAACTCACTTAACCATTTTTTCTCTTAGCAACATAAATTCTGGGCTCAGTTGTGGTTGTAAGTCAAGGACTGCCTGTAGTGGTAGTGAGAAAAACACCTTTCATCTATTGAAGTCTTCACATGTTGCAGCATATCACTTGCAAGTCAGTTCCTATACCACCTTATGACCACATAGTAGGTATCTGAAAGAACACATTTGCCCTACGTCTCTGATAAGAGATTTGCTGTTGTAGTCTCTCTCTCTCTCTCTCTCTCTCTCTCTCTCTCTCTCTCACACACACACACACACACACACACACACACACACACACACACAAGCCTTTTTCCCTCTCTCTTTCTCTCTGGGAAAATAACTGAGCCACCAGAAGTAAAATTATTCTATGACTTTTTACAATTGCTCCAAGTTGATGTTTTACCTAAATTCTGAAGCAGAAGTGTGATCTTAATCCAAGGTAAAATACTTGAGAGTGGGTGGAATGCAGTGAAGAAAAGAGCAAGGAAGACAAAGGGGAGGGCACTCTTTTTCAGTTCAATTAAAAGCTTTTTTTTCCCACTGACAAACACCTTGTTTTAGCCTGCCAGTTTTATGTAGGAAGGAATGGAAGGGTGGGGAAGGAAATGCTGACAACTAGCAACTTATTAATCATTGTAATCAACACACAAATCCTGTTTGATGAAGCTTCAGTCATGGTACAGAAGATATACAGCCAAATTTACCCCAGGCAAAAGCAAATGTACATTTACTGCTCCAGCTTGTACTATATTAAATTTGTATTGAATGATTAATCATCAGGGGATAGATCCTTTAAGTTACACAACTTGACTATTCCATGTGCAGAAATGCCAACAGGAAGGCCTTCTATTGGGCTTCTCTTATAGTTTCTGTTAATTATTCATTAGAGGTAGCCCTCTTGATGATAATTATTACAGCATTTGATCACATGAAAGAAATAAGATTTAAGGCGCACTCAAAGAAAAGATAAAAAATAGTAGAATAGAACTACCTCCTATTAAATGCATTCATATAAAAAAATAAAGCTAGAGTCTATAAAATATAAAGGTCATAACTAGTGACATTAGCCAGATCACACAAAATTTTGAGCCATTATGACTGAATTCACACATCGTACTAAATTTAAAACAAATATGGGCATTTAGAATGCTGTGCATCCCACTGAATCAATCAATCAATCAAAAGTTAAAGTTAATTATTAACCAGATCACTAGATATTCAGCTATTGAATATTCTTAATTCTATCAACTTGACATTTATCTCTGAGACTGTCAGGATAATTTGTAGCTTCATAAATAGCTATGAATTACAGACATAGCTAATAACTAGCAGAAAAGATATAGCTCATCTTTGGTTCAAGATAGTAATAGTATCATACCAAATGTATTTTGGAACTAAGGATAAGTTTCTATATTTAATATATTCATTACTAAATTAAAGAAACAAGTTTATAAAATGATATTTATATTAAAATATTATTTCAAAATGAACTACTTACAAATAATTAAATATTATTTATTAAATGTTAAGATTTTGTAATAAATATAACGGGGACCAGCAAGCTCATCAAATACAGTTTTCTGTGTCACATGTGATCAATTCCAAATAGGAGAGAAAGTCAAAACGGCTCTTTGATATGCTGCATGGATTTTTAAAAAATAGCATTATTAATCTTTTAGGAATTTGAAATCATTTAAATTGGTGAACGTCATTACACATGACAGTACTGAATGCATGGCTCATCTCTCTTCTGCATAAAAATACACATTTTTTCATATTGATTCTTTCATATTGATTATTGATTCTCCAGGTTTTTCATTCATCATTAGCATCAGCATTATTGTCATCATCCTTTTTAAAATCACATGGATTGATTCAATACTAAAGACTTACAATACAAGTACATGTGATGCATTTGTTCCCGTCAGGATGAAAATCCTCACCTTCAGAGAAATGTCTACCTTCAAGTGTGCAACCTGGGGAAACACAAGTATTTTATACATTTATATAAAATAACAAGTATTGCACACATATATATGTAGATATGTAATGTGTGTGTGTGTGAGTGTGTGTGTGTGTGTTTCACACTGGAAAAATATCAGCTAATCAAAGTAGGCAATACTGGGATAGATCGATTGATATTCTAAATGTAATGCAACATCAAGTGCTTGGTGACAATCATACAAAATATTTTTTGCAAAGATGAGAAGGATACTATGCCTGCTGTTTTTGAGATGCTAAGCACTGAGACAATGTATAATATTAAAACCGAAGCTTGAGCAAGAAATACATTCAGCCACAATACTTATTTTGCATTCCAAAGAAAGCAAATGAATAAAGGTTGTAGTAATTTCCCACAGCAGAAGAGATATTATTTTCCCTCAGAAACCAATTAATGCAGCATATTTAGTTTGGATTATCTTTGTCACTTCATTTCAAGAGAGCTGTCAACAGTCCGAAAACTACAAAGATGAGAAAGGGTTTGTAGAGCAAATATAGGCAAATGATACGGAAGATAGGAAAGCATCATGCTGCAACAACACAAAGAGCACCAACAAAAGTGGTGGGAATACTGGTCCAGCATGAAAGGACAATAGAAACGAAGAGAAGGTCATGGAATAGATCCCAAAGAAATCAACTTTTCTTCAGCATAAGTTTTTTTCATTGTTTGGACATCCACCAAATATAGACTAAATAATACAGACACTATGGAATCAGAATAAAGGCAATGGTTATGGGGTGAGAAATTTTAAATGGTAATTTGAAAAGTCTGAAGTACAACAAGGAGTACAAGCAAAATTGGTCTTGGTCTTGGTCAAACAAATATATCTATAAATCTTAAAGCAAAAAATAAACTTTCTTGTTCTTTTGACATACAAATTAATCTTTTTCAGCTCTTACCTGGACATGTGGGGCAACACATCCCTGGTTCCTTATAAGCATTTGTACAATGAACAATACACTGAATCTCGGACTCTGTTATCACCCCTTCCTGCAAAATAACATAAGAAGGCCCAATTATCATCCACAAAAAAATCAAAAGTACACCACCATCTACAAAGAAAATATATTATTCATATATACCTTTCGCACTTTTCTGATCCCCATTTTACCAACATCATACAGATATTTGACAGAAGATATATAAGATTTAATGGGTTTAAAAAACAAAACATAGGAAGTCTATAGATCATCATATAGTTTTACCTGAATAGTCAAGAAATATGACTTTTGTGCCCCTCTTCAAATCACATTTTTTCTAGGCAGTTAATTCAGTATTATATGGGTAGTCCTCAACCTATAACCATAACTGAGCCCAAAATTTATGGGACATTTATTAAGTGAGTTTTACCCCACTTTACGGCTATTCTTGCTATAGTTAGTTGTTAAGTCATCTGAAGCAGCAGCAGATCATTATAGCTATTCAGTATCTGGTTATGGATGTCAAATATAGTGAAGCTTTGGGGGGGGGTAACAGTATACCATAACATCAAAAATTAATCCAACATTCTCCCCAAAAAGTACATGAGCCTTCTAGACTCCATCTGCTAGATCTAGATAAACAGCAGGAAACTAATAAAGATATTAATGAAGTAAAAAAAGGTTTTCAGTCTTATCAAAAATGTGTAGGGTACAGGAAACTTGAAAAGAATTGGCCACTCTGCTTTGATGCTAACAAATCTGATAAAACATTCCTCCACTCCAACAGTTTGGAGAAAGAAAAGCTTATGAAAAGAGAGATAAAGGTCTTTAGAATAGAAACCTCTTATCTCTGATGTGCCTGCAGACTGGAGTCTGGTAAATGACCACTTCCTGCAGGGCTTATTCCAGAAGTCAACATCTTGATAAACATAAAGGGGATTTTCTCTAGTATTAGTTGCCATTCTCTAATGGATAGATATGGCTTCCGAAATGAGGAGGGGAGCTGAGTTTTTTTTTAAGGTCCAGGTTTCTAAATTGCTCATTTCTGCTTTGTGATAGGACCACAAAGGCTCAAGACAATAAACGCAGGAAATGCAGAATTCCACTGCAATGTGCAAAGAACAAATGTGTATATCTGTGTCTTCTACCCTCCTCCCTTCTGAGGCAGTTCTGTGATATTCTGATGTCATTGAGGAGTATTTTGTCAAAAAACAGTATTGATCATATTGATTAGGGCTAAATAAAAGGCATAAGGTGCATTATCATGATTTGTTCATGTTGCCTCAGATATTGTATTAAATTTACAGAAATCTTATAGGACAGTCAACATTTACTTAAAACTATATGTAATTTTGCCTTTTTTTTCCTTACTCAGTAGTTATTCCATATCTTGCTCTTCAGTATAAGCATATTCTATGTAGGACTCTAAATATAAAACTGCAAGGTTGAATATATTTTGATAAAACAGAAAAAGTTCAGATCACAGAAGCTCTTCACAAAAAAGGGATTAATGGATTGTGGCATTTATGAAGCATATAAATTGAAATTTAAACATAAAAGATTCAGCATCAGATCTTAGACGTATAGCAACTTCTTGTATGAAAGAAGATAGTGCCAGAGGGCCCAAGGAGATGGTAGATCAGCCACTACTCTGAAAGATTCTCAGAAATGATTTGCAAGCCATTAATAGTTATTTTCAAATGAATATAACTTTTTCTAGTCCCAACCACTCAATTCTGTTTAGTACAGTCTCTGCCAGGTATTGTCCCAGAACAATAATCCTATGGGCGTATTGCCAAATCACAGGTAACTAAAACTAGAGTCCTTCTGGCCAACTGAAGATGCCCTGGTAAACAGTAGAAGCCATCTGGGACTCCAAAGGCAACAGTCAGGTCCAAATTATTATTTGGGATCTGTTATCTATAAGAATTTGGGGCAAACATGGGGTCCAGTTATCTGAGGGACCGCCTCTTCCTGGTTATGTTTACCTGTCCTATTGAGTCCAGAAGAATAGGCAGAGACTAGGTGCTATTTATTAAGGAAAGTCATTTGGTGGATCCAGGAAAAGAACCTCAGGACTTCTTAATTATCCTGCATTTTGGAAAGAAGCTAGCAGACCTGGGACCAATTTAATATCTAGGAATGATATCAGATTGGTCCCAAGTCTGCTGGTTTTTTTAAAGATCTTACAAGACAAGCTTTTGTTGCTGAACTTGAGGACCAAATATATGGCATAGTCTGTACAATAGCTTTGATGGTACCAAGAATGGTTTATTGATGGTAAATTTGGTTTTATCTTGGTGATTGGTGTTGTTTATGTTTTTATGGTTATGTCATATTTTATTATTATTTTATGTTATATAGTGTTTTAACTACTGTTAATCATGAATTATGAGGTGGATGGTCATATAAATTTAAATAAATAAACAAGTAAACAAACAAACAAATAAATGTAATCTAATGTAATGTTTGGCAAATAGATGGGGAAGAAATGGAGGTAATGACAGATTTTATTTTTCTGGGCTCCAAGATCACCTCAGATGGGGATTGCAGCCAAGAAATTAAAAGACATTTGCTCCTGGGGAGGAAAGCTATGGCAAATCTAGACAGCATACTAAAAAGCAGAGACATCACCCTGCCAACAAAAGTGCGTATAGTCCAGGCCATGGTTTTCCCAGTTGCAATGTATGGCTGTGAAAGTTGGACCATAAGAAAGGCTGAGCGCAAAGAATTGAGGCCTTTGAATTATGGTGCTGGAGAAGACTCCTGCGAGTCCCTTGGACTGCAAGGCGTTCAAACCGGTCAGTCCTAGAAGAGATCAACCCCGACTGCTCTTTAGAAGGCCAGATCCTGAAGTTGAAACTCAAATACTTTGGCCACCTAATGAGAAGGAAGGACTCACTGGAGAAGGGCCTAATGCTGGGAAAGATTGAGGGCAATAGAAGAAGGGGACGACAGAGAATGAGATGGCTGGATGGAGTCACTGAAGCAGTAGGTGAGAACTTAAATGGACTCCAGAAGATGGTAGAGGACAGGAAGACCTGGAGGAACATTGTCCATGGGGTTGCGATGGATCGGACACGACTTCGCAATTAACAACAACAAATGTAATGTTTAGATACTCCCTATAACATTTGTGGGTATTAGAAACCTAAGCTTGGTATTAAATTTAATGTAAACATTTCAGGTATTCATAACCTCATTTTATTAACATCTTGAATCTACTGTATTTCTTTATGTAGAAGTGCTTTCACAGAAAGTATTGAACCTTTCCTCAGGAAAATCTTTATTTTCCTACTATTTTCATAGGCAAGTCTGAGAGCAAAAAATACATACAGCAATATTCCTTTGACAACAGGCCCATCCATTCATCACTGATTTCAATATTCTTTATGAAAATCCCAACTCAAGATCAGTTTCACTATATGAAACAATAGGAGACAACTTTCTTTCTTACGTTTTATGAATATCAGAAATTCAATGTTTAATCTAGAGGTTAAAACACCAATTTAGAAAGCAAGAGATCATGAATTCAAGTCCCACATGTAGGAAATGACCAGGCTGAGCTGAGGGATGGGACAAACAATCCTTAGTCAAGAGTCCCTATGTGCCCACCCATTAATTTCCCTTGATTGTTAGTAGCTCAGATTCTTGTAGAGAGCTTCAGCTTGCGGTAAATCTTTATACTCATTTGAACTGCCTGATTCTCCTGATTTCCCTGGCACTTGACATCACTTTAGCTGCGTGACTTTCGTCAGTCACTCTCTCAGTCCAGTCCATCTCACAGGAAGGTGTATTTCAATGTGTTCACTGCCATGAGTGATTTGTAATACTAATTAAAGGCAGGATAAAAATAATTACATAAACTCTTTTCTTTACCTGACATTGTAGTGTGAAACAGGGTTTATTTGGACTCTGCCATAATACTGAGTTGTTATATGAACTTCCTTCAAAACTGCAATCTAAGGATAAAACACAAATAAATAGAACAGTTAGCAATCTACACACCTACTGATGTGACTGATATCTGACAGAGAAGCAGATAGACAGACTAACAATCAAGGGAACTTTAAATTCCCTTTGTCTATCTATGTCTTGTGTATCTATGAGGTTTAAGAAATCTTCACCTTCTTATGAGCTGAAATGTGGTGACTTGTTCCACTCATCTGAGTTTCTCTGCAAGTACTACCACAATTTGCCTCTTACAAACTTGCTTTTTTTTTGTTTTCAGATAAGAATACAAACATATCACAAGCACAGTAGTTCTCAGTTGCAGTTACTTTCATCCATTTTTTCTTCTGTTAAAGGATATTCCACCTTGTGTGCTCCTGCCAAACTCCATTTTCACTCACACAGTGATCTTATTCCCTGAAAATATTGCAATCAATAGCTTCTTAAGAAATGACCTTTCAGTTTTAAAAAGTCCATCAGGACATAATTTTTTTTAATTACTATTTTTATGTTGTATTTTCTTCCAACTCCATCACCAAATTGTCTGTCTGTCTATCTGTCTGTCTGACATTGCCTAACCTTTAAATTTCATTTCAAAACTTTAAAAAATCAATAGGGAATTCTGCTTAGTTTAGGTTAGTAGGGATTTTATAAATAAATTTCCTATTCCCCCAAGAGAAAATGTTCATGGTAAAGAATTGTAAATTAGCCCATAACCCTCATTTTCAATGATGGATTTCTCTCATTTGTTTTCTCTAACTACTTCTCCTTTTGTTTCTGTTGGCCTGAAAAATAAACAACAGGAGGAAAAAATCGACATGTTATATTTAATTTGTGATAAATTATACTTTGGGGAGACTTCATACTGGAATATTTTAAAGGTCAAAAATGCCCTTAAGAATCTGTATTTGATAAATAGTAATATGTTGACTAAATTAAAGAACTATACATTCTTTATATGGAGGATATTTGATCTATGTTCACATATTTTTACAACAAAGTAATATTAGTGGCATTGCCTACATAAATCCCAAATTTATTTAGGGACAGTTTTGTTATTACTAAGCATGAAAACATTCTCCTTCATTTATCAATTAAAGATCAAGCAGGCATAATCCTTAATTTCATTTGGTGGAATGGAAGCAGACTTCTGCCATCTACACTGAATCTTTCCTCATTCTTTGAGTTATATATCTGTGAGTGACTATGTATGTGAAAGAGAGCATTTCTTTTAATGTGCCATAAATAGAAAGACCAAACATATATGACAGAAACCTATAGTCAGTGTAGCTACTAGCCATCAAGCACTTATAAAAGGCATTTCAGTTAAGGAAATCCTGGCATAATTTTCTCCTTATACTATTTTGTATTTAATTTTGTATTTAATTTTATTTATATGCCGCCCAATCCCAAAGGACTCAGGGCGGCGTATAGAGTTAAAACAATCATAAAACAATAAAATAATACAGTCATACCGCGAGTCCGATCATATCCCGCCCCCCCGGGGACATCAGCCCCAGGCCTGCCGGAACAGGAGAGTTTTAACGGCTTTCTTAAAGGCCGGCAGGGTGGGAGTAGTTTGAACCTCAGGGGGAAGTTGATTCCACCAGGTCGGAGCCACCACAGAAAAGGCCCTTCCCCGAGGGCCCGCCAGCCGACATTGTCTGGCCGACGGGACCTGAAGGAGGCCCAATCTATGGGACCTCACCGGTCTCTGGGAACTGTGCGGCAGAATGCGGTCCTGTAAGTAACCTGGCCCTATGCCATGAAGGGCTTTAAAGGTGATAACCAACACCTTGAATTGCATCCGGAGACCCACAGGAAGCCAGTGCAGCTCGCGGAGGATAGGTGACACGTGGGCGTACCTTGGCGCGCCCACAATTGCTCTCGCGGCTGCATTCTGAACCAACTGCAGCCTCCGAACGCCCTTCAAGGGTAGCCCCATGTAGAGCGTGTTACAGTAATCCAGTCTTGAGGTGACAAGGGCATGAGTGACTGTGAGTAAAGCCTCCCGGTCCAAATAAGGCTGCAACTGGTGCACTAGGCGAACCTGTGCAAAGGTCCCCCTGGCCACAGCAGATAGATATTGTTCCAAATTTAGCTGTGAGTCCAGGAGGACACCCAAGTTGCGTGCCTGCACTGAGGGAGGTAAATTTGCCCCCCCCCCAGGACAAATGATGGACCATCCAGTTGGCCTTTGGGAGGCAAGACCCAGAGCCACTCGGTCTTGTCAGGGTTGAGTCTAAGCCTGTTCACCCCCATCCAGACCTTCACATCTTCCAGGCACCGGCACATCACTTCTACTGCTTCACTGAAAGGACACGGGGTGGAGATATATAATTGGGTATCACCGCATACTGATGATACCTCACCCCGTGTTGCCGAATGATCTCACCCAGCGGTTTCATGTAAATGTTAGAAAGGAGGGGGGACAGGACCAAGCCCTGAGGCACCCCATGATCGAGGCGCTTAGGGGTCGATCTCTGTCCGCCCGACAACACCGACTGCGACCTGTCAGAGAGGTAGGAGGAGAACCACCGCAATACGGTGCCGCCCACCCCCACCTCTCTGAGACGAAGCAGAAGGATACCATGGTCGATGGTATCGAAAGTCGCTGAGAGGTCAAGAAGCACCAGGATAGAGGAATAACCCCTATCCCGGGCTCGCCAGAGGTCATCAGTCAGTGCGACCAAAGCAGTCTCAGTGCTGTAGCCGGGCCTGAAACCAGATTGAAAAGGGTCCAGATACTAGAATACATGATGATGAAAAACAAAATAAAAGAGTCGGTAGGGACCTTGAAGGTCTTCTAACCCAAACCTCTACTCAAGCAGGAAACCATATGCCATTTCACAGAAATGGTTGTCCGATCTCTTCTGTGCTTCAATTAAAATGTGAGGTGCAGAAGATTACCACAATGAAATCATCCCAATTAGGAATCATGTTGTGCTCATTAGTTTTATAAATCTTAGCTTTTCTGCTGGATATAACATTATTCACCCATAGCCTTATACCAAACTTCCTTCTAAGTCTTCTAGGTATTTTCTTTTATAGGAAAATAGAGGGTTGTTGGCTAATCTATCCTGAATTCTACAAATGAATTGTAACATACTTCCATACAGTAGGAGATGCTATTCGGCCATCAATGGTGAGTTAAAGTTTTACTGCTAATCTGCTTATTTTCTGAGTGTCACATGTTATCCTTCATTTGGTAGTAAAATGTGCATGTGATCGCAGATGTTTCCATATTCAGGAACCAGCTGCTACTGGCTTACCACACTAAATGAACCATTTGCCAACTAGGTCATAATATCTTCTAATATGTTAATGAAATTCCACCTCTAAATTTGAGTTTACTTTTATAATGATGGCTTCTAAAAGCTCCTTGAAATACAGAGTAAAAAAAAAATGGAACAAGTCAAGAAAATTAATCTCCTGATTTCTGCAGAGCATTCCAAAAATAATTACCTATAATGTTCCTAATTTAAACTGAAAGCATGAGGAGATATTACCCAAAAAGGGATTCAGGTTCCAACAGCAGAATTAGGAACTGAACATGAAAATGAAAGAAAATGTTTTATCAGTCATTTTTATTAATAACTTGAAGAATGAAAAACATTCTTATCAGATATGGATTTGAAACAGCTCAACATGTGGTATTTTACTACATCATCTATAGGGATATCCACCGTGATTATACTGTATCTTAGCCTGATTCATTAGTACTCTGGGGGAAAAAAAACAGATAACTTTTACATAAGTTTACTTTATTTCAAACTCCAAATTCTTTATAACCCAGATGGTAGTAAAATACTGTGCAGCGGCAATAAAAATGAGGCACCAACTGAAGCAAGGTCTATCATAGTTACAACTCACTTCTTTGTTGACTATCATAATGTCCTCCAATATTTTATTATATTTTAATATTTTTATTAGTGTTCAATATTCCTAAATCTTGTTAATAATGGGGGAGGGGGAGGAGGAGCAGAAGGAAAAGGAAGATATTAATGGTTTTAGAGGAATAATGCAAAATCAGGATTTCTGCATTACGAGAGCTAATAATTTTTCAATTATGCTGAAAAACTGGGATAGTGAATTGCAAAAAGAAGGTACATGTAATGTGTTATATTTGCATACTCACAAACATGATGAAGTGAGCTTGCATTCAATGATGCTGAAATAACTTTATCAGATACAGTCAATCATAATCACTGATATGAGTCATTGATATGGTATTGCAGAAAAAAGCTCCTTAGGATGTATTCTTAGAAACACCAGTTATATTTCACCTGTAGTCCTATATCAACTCTTAGTCACAGAAACAAATTCAAGAGAGTACAAGTGAATACCACAAATATGGATTTGTAATATAATAAATGTTATTGGAGGATGATCCTAAAGAGACAGGTAAGGGCAACTGCACTTAAGAGACATGGGAAATACGCAAGTAAATAAATGGTTTTTCCATCTAAAGCTCGTTGTACAAAGAGCTACATTATGGCCTGTAGCCATTTGAAATCAACAATACGGAGGATATTCTTTAAAAAGTTGTTATGGAATAACTCATTATGCAGATAGAGTCTATTACCCAAAGGTGAAAATGAATAATCTGCAGTAATTTTTCTCTGAAGTCAGAATTTAGGATTCTTTTATTCCAAAATAGTTCCAACTGATTTTAATGTTACTGCATATCAATTCACCAAAAATGATATTAAATACTTCAAACCAGACTGTCTGACTAAAAAACAAATGAAAGAACTCTCTCAGATGCAAATTATGGAATCTGGGAGGTAGCATCCAGTTGATCTCCACTGACCTCAAAAAAGATAAACTGAATTAGACTTGCTTAGTAGACTACCAAGAGGAGACTACCAAGAAATAGCAAGATTCAGAAGTTGGTAGATATCCCAAAACATGACAATGGCAAATCTTTTCTGTAATTTTAATTCAAAGGAGATTTTGGTTACTCTTTGGTTATATTACATCAGAATAATGGATTTCTTTTGTACCAAGA